TGGGGGATGGTGCCCGGGGTGGGGCGGGGGTGGCACATGGAGCAGGGTGGGGATGGGGGATGGTGCCCGGGGTGGGACAGGGGTGGCACATGGAGCAGGGTGGGGATGGGGGATGGTGCCCGGGGCGGGACAGGGCATGGGGTGGGATGGTGACAATGCTCAGGGTGGGATGGGGGTGGCACACGTGGCAGGATGGGGATGGGATCCATGGCAGGACAGGGAATGGGATTGGATGGGGGGTGGCATCAATGGCAGGACTCGGGTGGCACCTGGGGTGGGGCAGGACAGGGCCCGAGTGGGATGAGGATGATGCCCAGGATGGGATGAGGATGGTGCCAGTGGTGGGGTGAGGGTGGTGCCTACAGCAGGATGAAGATGATGCCCCCGATGGGATGCGGATGATGCCCGTGGTGACATTCCAGCAGTGCCCACGGTGGGATCAGGAGGATGCCCACGGTGGGCTGAGGACGCTGCCCAGGCCGGGCCGGTGCCCGCGGGCCCGGGGGCTCCCCGCCAGCTGCAGGGAGGCGGCTCCGTGCTCCACATACCAGGAGCCTGCCCGGGGACGCTGTTTATGCATTGACGGATTTTTTCCTGCTCACGGAGCCTGGCTCCGGGTCCCGTCCCCCCGCCAGCGCCCGGAGCTCCCGGGCCGTGTGAGCCCGGCCCCGGCCCTGCCCCGGCCGCGCTGCCAGCGCCTCCCGGGGACGTGCCCGAGGGGACAATGCCCGGGGACCCCGGCTTGGGGGGGGATGCCGGGGCTGGGGGTTCTCCCGGAGGAAGAGGAGGATGCTCGGCCCCACGGGGAGGATGCTCAGCCCCCGAGGGGCCGGGGATGCTGCGGCACCGGGGGCAGCCCCGGGGCGGCCCCGAGAGGCTCCGACACCAAAATATTTCTGCTCCTCCTCGGGCAACCCGGTTGCCCTTGGAGAAGGGAAGGGCAGAGCCACCTCCGATGGAAAAGCTGAGGCAGCGGGCGCGGAGCTCACAAAGCTGCCCTTGATGCTGCCCCTCGGCGCTGCCCGGCTGCCTCCTCCCCCTCCTCCTCCTCCTCCTCCTTCTCCTCCTCCTCCTCACATCCAGCACGAGCACCCGGCGATCCCAGCGAGGGAGGATCACCAGGACACGGGACCCCCAGGGATCCTCCTCACCTGACCCCCCAGGACGGGCTGAGCATCCCCCCTTTCCATGGGCTGTGACTGAGCCCAATTCCCAGGGGGAATAGTGAACGGGGGGGGTTGAGGGATGCAAAGAAACCCACCAGGGAGAGGCTGAAGCCCTGGCACAGCCACAGCATCGCTGCCCACCGGGCTGTGCCACCAGCCCTGCTGTCCCTCGGTCCGGAGTGGGAGGGAGACACAGCCGGGGTGGGACAGCACAGGGGGACAGGAGGAGGGTGAGAGAGCAGCTGGCAGCAAAGCCCCCGGCCCTGGTGTGGTGTCCCCAGCCCTAAGGGGGTGTCCCCAGCCCCAGTGGGGTGTCCCCAGCCCCGGTGGGGTGTCCCCAGCCCCCCTGGCCACCTCACCTTGGTGACAGCCACAGCACAGGCGTGTCCCCAGATCTCGATGAGCTGCTGCCTCCCAAACCGATAATCCTCCAGCAGCTCCTTCTCGATGGCCTCGGCCTCTGCCTTGCTGGGGAGGGGGAGAGGGCACCAGTGAGCAGGGGGAGGAGATGGGTGCCCTCCACCGCCCACGGGAAGGATTTGGGACCCCACTCTGCCCCCAGGGCGCTGGGCAGGGGGTCTCAGGGCACCGGGCGAGCGGGTCAGGGGCTCGTAGGGCGTGGGGTGGGCACGGCCGGTGGCTCGGGGAGGGGGACGGGCTCGGCTGGCACGTCTGGGGGCCAAACCCCGCGGGTGAGGGGGGCTCGATCCGTGCGAGGCACGGCCCTGGCAGCGCCCCCGGGCTCGTGGGGCTCGGGCTGTTACATAAAAGCGAACAATGCTGCGGTTGTTCCGTCGCTGCCGAGCCGGGAGTTGGCAGGGCCGGGAGCCGCTGATGGGACAATAATTGCTCACATCTGTTGGCTTCACCTGCCCGGCTGGAACGGGCCGGCTGCGGGAGGGAGCCTGGGATCCGACCCCCGGGAGAGGCACAGGGAGGGAACCCACGGCCCTGCGGGGAGCTGGGGGGCACCAGCCCCCACCCTGCCCCCGTTTCGGGGGGCACACTCACATCTCGCTCAGTCCCAGCCATGGAGAGGGGACCTGCCACCCCCCGCCATGGGCAGGGATCATGTGGTGCTCCTGGAGCTGGAGGGGCCACGGGTTGGAATCCCTGGGTGGGGTCCCTGGGTGGGGTCCCTGGGTGGGATCCCTGGCTGCTCTGGGTGTCCTGGCAGAGCCCAGGGACCATTTGGATCGGGCATTCCCTTGTCATTCAGGCAGACCCACAGTGAGCCCTCCTCCCTGTCCCCCATTCCTGCATCCCATCCCCTGCCTGTCCTGAAAAACCTCCCAGAAAAACTTCATCCCTTTTCCCATCTCCTCCATCCCATCCCATCCCATCCCATCCCATCCCGTCCCATCCCATCCCATCCCGTCCCATCCCAGTCCCCAATCCTTTGGTGCCCTCTAGTGAGTCCCAGCCCGGTCCCAGCCCCACACGGGGGTCCGGGGGGAGAACAAGGGGGGGCCGTGGTGGTCAAAGGGAGCCGCGCTGTCCCGGTGTCCCTCCCCCGCCCAGCGGGGCCGGGGGGGCCGGGAGGGGGTCGGGGGTGGGGCCGGGCACAGCTGTGTGTGTGTTGTCCCTCTCCCAACAAAAGGCACGTGTCTGACAAAATTCCCCACGTCTGTTCCCGGGAGAACATTATCCATAATCGCTGCTGGCAGGGAAAATGCTGGGCGCCGGCCCGGGCTGGCTCCCGCTGGCCTGGCAGCGTCCCCAGGGAGGGGACACACGTCACGGGGCTCCCTGGGATCGCCGCCCACCCCGGGAGCAGCGACCCCCCCCCTCCCCGAGGGCTCCGGGGTCACCTCCAGCCCTCCCCGCTCCCCCCGGGATCTGCGGTTTGGCTTCGCTGGAATGCCGCTCCTGGAATGACGCTCCCGATCCCCCCGGAGCGCAGGGAGACCCAGCAGAGCCCAGTTCAACCCAGTCCAACCCAGTTCCCGGTGCCTCCAGGGGCTGCTGCGTGTCCGCGGCTGCTGCGGGGTTGGGGCGGGAGCGAGAGGAGCCGAGGGATGAGGGGACGAGAGGATCCCTGAGTGTCCCTTCCCGTATCCCGGTTCCAGGACGCCGCGGGCGCTGCATCCCGGATCCGTGTCCGCTGTCTGCATCCCAGCATCACATCCCCGTTCCACATCCCAGTTTTACATCCCAGTTCTGCCTCCCAGCTCCGTGTCCTCCCTCTCCCTGCATCCCAGCATCGCATCCCTCTCCCTGCATCCCAGCGTCACATCCCGGTCCCGCATCCCGCCAGCTCCGCGTCCCCCCTCTGCATCCCAACTCCACATCCCAGCCCCGTATCCCGGCTCCATCTCCAGTTCCCGCCGCTCGTTTCCTCCCCCCCGGCCCCGCTCGGCTACGGGACCCCCCCGACCCGCCCTGGGTTGCAGCGGGGGGTCCCCCGCGCACCCCCCGGGCCGGTCCCGGGATCCCCGGCGGGTCCCCCCGCTCCGCTCCCGCTGCCGGAGCATCCCCGCCGCAGCCATGGAGACCCGGGATGCGGTTTCCCTGGCAACGGAGGCTCCGTGGGTACCGACTCCCCCCCCCGCCCCCGCGGCTCCTTGGGGGGATCGTCCCGGGGGACGCGCGCGGGGACCGGGAGGGCTCGGGAGCATCACGGAGGGCAGGAGCCCACCCGGGGGGCGTCCCGGGGCTGCGGGGGGGTCCCGCCCCACCGGTGGGACCGCGGGAGCCCCCAGCAACCCCCCCGGGTCCCCACCGCGTTCTGCGGGGCTCCGGCACCGGCCACGACCCCGCGGGACCGGTCCGGGGGGAGCCGGGGGTCGGGGGACGGCGGGGGGGTCCCGGCGGCGAATCCGGTGACCTCAGGGAGAGGCACCGGCGCGGCGGGACCCCGGGACCCCCCGGAGCTCCCGGTTCTCCCCCGCGCGGCCGGGGGGAGGGGTGGGGGGCTCTCCGGAGGGACCCCCGGGCTCACCTGAGGTACCGGGGGGGCTCCCGGGGAGGGCAGGACGCGGAGCTCATGGCGGGCGGCACCGGGACGGGGACCCCCGGGGGCTGGAGCGGAGCCTCGGGTGGAGCGGGACCCTCGGGAGCAGCGCAGACCCTCGGGCGGAGCGGCGCGGACCCCCCCGGCGGGAGCGGATCCCCCGGCGGGAGCGGATCCCCCGGCGGGAGCGGATCCCTCGGGAGCAGCGCGGACCCTCCTGCCGGCCCGGCCCCCTCGGCGGGACTGGCGCGGCCCCCCCGGGGACCCCCGGCTGGAGCGGCCCCGGTGCCGCCCGGGGGGAGGCGGCTCCCGCTGCCCCCGCCCCCTCCGCGGGCATCGCTCCGGCCCCTCCCGGGAACGGGAACACCGGCCGGGATTCCCGTGATTCCCGCAGGATGCGCGCGGGGGGGGTGTGGAAGGGGGTGGGAGCAGCTGGGACCCCGCTGGGACCCCGAGAAGCCCCTTCCTTCCCACCCCTGAGCGAGGGGAACGTGTCAAAATTGTGCCGAACACCCAAATTCGGTGGGTTTTCACCCACCGTTGCTCTGGTGGGATCTACATCCATGGGATCTACATCCATGGGATCCACACCCATGGGACCCAAACCCATGGGATCCACATCCATGGGATGTGTGAGCACAGGGAGAGCTCAGAACCCCCCCGGCCCCCCCAGTGACACCGAGGCAGGGAGGGGGGACAAGGACACTGCCACTGGCTGCTTCCTCCATCCCACGTTCCCATCCTGATTCCCGGGCAGGGAAGCCCAGGAAACACCATCCCACATTCCCACCCCGATTCCTGGGCAGGGAAGCCCAGGAAACACCACGGGAGACGCCGAATTCCCGGTGGGGGACACGGGGGTGTCCAGGAACACACAGGACACGGGATCCACGTGGTTTAATAACAGGTTTAAGAACAGGCGGCACCCGGAGCCCGGGAAGTGCCGGGATGGGCAAAAACAACCCAGGAAACGCTGGAACAAGGGAAGGAGGAGCCCGGGAAGGGCCGGGATGGGGAAAACGACCCGTGAAATGTTGGAACAAGGGAAGGAGGAGCCCGGGAAGGGGCGGCTCTCAGACATAGAACTGCAGCCCGAACTTCTCGTTGTCCATCTCGGCCGAGGGCCGCAGGTAATAGAGCTCGTCCACCGTCGGGGGCACCCAGCGATCCGTGTGGAACACCGACTCGCCCACCTGGAAGGCAGGGAATGCTGGGAGAGGCGGGATCAGGGACCCTCCACCCCCCGCTCCAAGCGCTGCCAGGGGGAAGGAGCATCACTGCCTGTTCTGGGGGGGCTGCTCGGAGCCCGGGTGATCCCAGCCTTCCAGGGGGTGACACGGCGCCAAACCCACTGGAATGGCCGGTTCCCAGCCCGCGGGATCACGGAAGGGCAGCTCCCCCCCCCCCATCCTCCCTCCCAGGAGTCACAAACCTTCCAGCCGGGAACCTCCCTCATGATTTTGGCCTCCTCGTCCAGGTTCTGCCGCAGCAGCCGGAGGGTTCTGCGGGACAGGGGGAGGCTGAGCGGGGAACCGGGAGGGGACACAGCGCCCAGGGGGGGTCCCCGAGGCCTGGGAGGGTCCCCAGCCCCCCGTACCTGCGGTCAGACTCCGCCTGCAGCAGCGGCATCAGCGCGATCCGAGCCTCCAGCTCCTCGATCAGCAGCCGCCTGCGCCGGGATTGGGGGGTCAGGGGGGTCTGGGGGGGTCCCTGGGATACAAGGGGGCACTGGGGAGGGGGGGGGGCTGGGAAAGCTGGGGGGACCCCATGGCTGCAGGGGGGCACTGGGGGGATCTGGGGGAGACTGGGAAGGGTCAGGGGGGTCGCTGGGCTGCAGGGGGGCACTGAAGGGGGGCTGGGAAAGCTGGGGGGGGGTCCAGGGGAGAACTGGAGGGTGCGGGGGGGGAAGGGACGGATTGGGGGGTCCTGGGGTTCGGGGGGGCACTGGGGGGGCTGGGGAGGGGGGACTGGGGTACAGGAAAGGAGGCCGTGAAGGGTTTGGGGTCCTGGGGCACAGGGGAGGGCTGAGGGGGTCGGCGAGAATCGGGGGGGTCCCTGGGTCCCTGGGCTGCTGGGGGGCACTGGGGGGGGCTGGGAAAGCTGGTGGGGGGTGCGGGGTACAGGGAAAGGGGTCCCGGGGAGCACTGTGGGGGGTGGGTCGGGACTCCCCTGGAATGTGGGAAAAGCACATCCCGAGCAGGGACCGCAGCAGAGCCCCGGGAACGGGAAAACCCGCGGCCCCAGAGGAGGGTTTGTGTGTGCGGGGGGAACGGGGAACCCCCAGGGCTGGACGGGGAGACCCGGGGGGGGGGCTCCGGGATCCCCCCGGGCGTCACCTGCGCTCGCGGTTCCACTTGATGAGGGTGTAATAGCCCAGCAAGAGGCTCCCGACGCCGATGGCGAACAGGCTGTACCCTGGGGGTGTGGGGGGGGCGCGGTCAGAGCGGCACCGGGGCCGGGATGGGCCCCCCCGAGCGACGCCCCCCGAGCCCCGAGGGGACCCCGGCGCCCACCTGAGAGGCCCCTGCGCGGGAGGTGCCGCTTGTAGTCGATGGGGCCGTACCCGCCCGGCGGGGCCATGTCCTGCTTCACCTTCGGCGCCGCCATCGCGGCGCTTCCCTCGTGACGTCACTGCCCCGCGACTCGCCACGGGGAGCCACGTGACCCTCGTCACGTGAGGGAGGAGGAGGCGCGGCTTAAAAGGGCAACGCGCGGATTTAAAAGGGCAACGCGGAGAGTGGGGCCCGGAGCGGTGGGTTTGGGGACAGGGGGGTCCCGGCGGGGCAGGTTTGGAGCCAGGCGAGATCCAGCGCTCCTCTGGGATCGCTTTCCCACCCAACGGGCTCCAGCACTTCCTTGGGATCATCTTCACACCCAGCCGGAGCCATCATTTCTCTGGGAGCATCTTCTCACCCCATGGGCTCCATCACTTCTTCGGGATCACTTTCCCACCTGAGGGGCTTCCTTGGGAGCATCTTCCCACCCAGCAGGCTCCTTCACTTCCCTGGGAGCATCTTCCCACCCAGCAGGCTCCTTCACTTCCCTGGGAGCATCTTCCCACCCAGCAGGCTCCTTCACTTCCTTGGGAGCACCTTCTCCCACACAGGGATCCATCCTTTCTCTGTGAGCATCTTCTCACCCAATTGGATCCGTCATTTCCTTGGGAGCATCTTCTCTCCCCACGGGCTCCACCACTTCTTTGGGATCACCTTTCCACCTGATGGGAACTATCGCTTCCTTGGGATCATCTCCCACCCACGGCAGGGTTGGGATTGGCACTCGGAGCACGTCTGGCAGGAGGCTCCACGAGGACTGGGGGGGTTTCCAGCTCCACCCAGTATGACCGGTCAGTGTCCCAGTATGTCCCAGTCCCCCAAACAGCCCGGGCTGGATCCAGCACGGGCGGGAATCCCAAGTTTCTGAGGTTCCTTGGCAATCCAGCCACGAGCTGCCCACGGAATCTGGGCTGAAAAATAAAAAGGATCAGTTTTTTTTTCCCCCCTTTCACCCTGGGCTTGACCTGGAGCAGGATCCACATCCCATCTTCCCTCTCTGTTCCCAAACCGGGATTTTATCCGGAACTGGGGACAAAACCAATCTGGCAACGTTCCAGTTTGCCAGGAAATCCCGCTGTCCCCATCCCAGAGGGGAGGGATCCAACGGCCCCCTGAGCTATCCTGGGATGTTCAGATGAATTCCAAAGGGGATCCGAGTGGCGGAGCAGCAATTCCAGGTGGGAAGAAGGGCCGAGGAGGTGGTTGGGTCTCGTTTCCACACGTGCTCCGTCCACATCCCGGGATGGCACCTGGGAGGGTGTTCCCTCCACTCATTTCAATCCATGAAATTCCACAGAAATTCCAGATTTTTGTCTTCTTCTTTCCCTGTTCTCCCATCAACCTGGTTTGGTTTTTTTTTTTGGGAAGGAACCTTGGCAGAGGAAGGAGCAGATCCAAACCCGGGATGAGATGCATCCCAACCCCGAAATCCTCGGAATAAGAGGCAGATCCAAGTGTTTCTCCATTTGTTTATTGTCCTTCCAATACTGAAACCCCCCCACAATACAGTTATGGATTAATTATTGATTCCAGATCCTTCTGCTGCTGAGACTGTCAGGGTTTAGTGGGAAATTATTATCATTTATTATAATTATTATTATTATTAAATGTCAGGGTTATTGTGGGAGATTTGGAGTCACAATAAACCCAAGGGACAAACCCCCAGCCTGTGCTCCCTCCTTCCAAAAGGAGAGGGAAAAATGAGCCAAATTGGGTTTTTTTGATGAGCTCTCCCTAAATTTGCTCCATTCCACTCCCTCCTGCAGCCCAAACCCTTCATTTGCCATCCCAGACTGTACTTCAGGAATTTAATTTTTCCTCAATAAGCCAGAAAGAAGAAGTTTTAACTGGGTCTGAGAATCCAGAGGGAAATGCAGGGATCCCAAAACGATGCCAAAAACACCTGCAGAAACAAAAAAACCCACCCCCAAATGAGCTTGGATTTCTGATTATCCAAGAGTTTTCCTCACCACCACAGCGGGAATGTTCCAGGAATCCCTGGAACACAAAAATGAGTGAAGTCCCGTTTTCCACGAGCTGCAAAGGCTGAGGACACAAAGGAGGAGGTTCAACCCTCTCTGTTTCAGCGCTGAAACTGGAGAATAAATTAATTATATTTATATTTATATATATATATAAAAAAAAAAGAGAGAATGAAATCCAAGAAAAACCACACGGCTCCCAAAATTCCAACACGGGTTTCCAATGAAAATCCGGGGTTTATTTCACAAGTTGCTAAAATCTAAAGTACAACAGTCGTTTCCCGTTATTTAGTCACTGGCTTAGAAAATTCCCGTCGTCGCGACGTCGCCGAGGGAGGAGGTTTTTTTTTTATGGCTTTGCGGGAATCCCTCGATCCCTCTCCCCAGGAGAGGCGGGAGCCGGACCCCCCCCGGAACAGCTCATGCAGCGAAGCAGTGGAGGGGCGGGAAAACGGGATACGAGGCCGGATATTCCACCCGGAGGGTTTTCCGGGGCCGGATATTCCACCCGGGGCGCTCCCGGGTTTTCCGACGGAGCGCGGAGTCCAACGGGAGGTTTGTGCCGCTCCAGGAGGTGATTCCCCGACAGATCCAACAGCCCCCAGGGACTCAGGAATCCCAAAGGTGATCCAAGAGCCCTCAGGGACTCAGGAATCCCAAAGGTGATCCAACAGCCCCTTTGGAATCAGAAATCCCGAAGTCCTCAGAGATTCAGGAATCCCAAAGGGCCTCAGAGATTCAGGAATCCCAAAGGCCTCGGGGATTCAGGAATCCCAAAGGTGATCCAACAGCCCTCAGGGATTCAGGAATCCCAAAGGTGATCCAACAGCCCTCAGGGATTCAGGAATCCCAAAGGTGATCAAAGAGCCCCTTTGGATTCAGGAATCCCAAAGGCCTCAGAGATTCAGGAATCCCAAAGGGCCTCAGGGATTCAGGAATCCCAGAGGTGATCCAAGAGCCCTCAGGGATTCAGGAATTCCAGAGGTGATCCAAGAGCCCCTTTGGATTCAGGAATCCCAAAGGGCCTCAGGGATTCAGGAATCCCAAAGGATATCAAAGAGCCCCTTTGGATTCAGGAATCCCAAAGGCCTCAGGGATTCAGGAATCCCAGAGGTGATCCAAGAGCCCTCAGGGATTCAGGAATTCCAGAGGTGATCCAAGAGCCCCTTTGGATTCAGGAATCCCAAAGGGCCTCAGGGATTTAGGAATCCCAAGGGTGATCCAACAGCCCTTTTGGAATCAGAAATCCCAAAGCCCTCCGGGATTCAGGAATCCCAAAGGCAACAACAGCAGTAGGAATAAACCCAAGATTTGTTCCTAAGTTTGTGTCTAACCCCCCCTCCTCCACGATTCCCAAGGATTTCCCCTCCAGGCAGGCCCATGATGGGAATATTCCGTTTCACTGGGATTTTTTTTGTCGTGTTTTTTTTTTTCCCCCATGTTTCTGTGGGGTTTTCTTCCGGCAAAAAGGAGAACAGGAGGATGAGGAGGAGGTTTGGAAAAACTGTATTAAAGTGTTTGAACAACTATTTCAAACCTGACCGAGCCCAGTCCCACAAACACCCAACTCAACACGGGGCTCCAGCCCCGAAGGAAAAGCCTCTCTCCCGGAATTCGCACGTGGATCCACTTCAACCCTTCCCGAGATTTATCCACGATTTGGCAGAAACAAACCAAACCAACCCCCCGGACCCCCCGCGGCACTCCCGGAAAACCACGTCAGAACCGGCTGCAATCCCAACAGCCTCATTCCCTGCTGGATTTTCAGCCTCGTTCCATGTAGGATTTTCCCCTTCCCTTTAAAATAAAATCTCCCCCAACCCCCTAAAATAGTATTTTTGGGGGTTTTATTCTCAATTACACGCGAAGAAATTCGGGATCTAACACTTTTTTAAGCCTGGATGCACAAAACCTGTTTTGCTTTTTCAGTTCCAAACCTTAAAACTAAAATATCCCCGATTCTTTTAAGGCTTCTTTTAAATTCTCCACGTTGGGCTGAAATTCCCGTGTCCGAGCACTGGGCTGGTGGGATCCCAGAAAGGTTCTGACGTCGCTTTTGTAACATTTGATTTTATATTTTCTGCCCCTCTTTCACTCCCCGTTGGTTTGTTTTTTTGTTTCCCCCGAAATAATCCAAAGTTGTTCCCCAACACTGGAAAATTAATTGGGAAGTTGCCCAGGTTTTCCCCACAAAAAAAAAAAAAAAAGGTTTCTGGATTTTAATTTGAGGAGTTTTCCTTGGTTTTTTGGGTTTTTTTGGTTTTTTTTTTTGAACCAAACGAACTTTTCCAGGGGATTTAACAGCGATCAAACATCGGCATCGACGAGGAGAAAACGCAGGAATTCGTCAGAGGAGAGGGGGAAAAAAAAATCCCCGGAAACCAACCAAAAAAATTCCACACAGGGAAGGAACCGAAACTTTCCCGGAATATCAAGTGCAAAAGGCAAATGCACTCCAGTTCTCCCTCCACATTCCCAACCCAAACCAGCCTGGAATGAACAGAAACCTTCCAAAACTTCACCCCCAACTCCCCCTCCTCCCTCCATCCCCTTCTAGTTCTTCGGATCCCTTTGGAAGATTGGAATCCCACTTTGGAAAACGAGGAGGGTTTTCGAGGCTGCTCAAGAAGTTGGGAAAAAAAAATCCCTTAAATCTCGATCTTCACCCAGCAGGGAAAAGGGGGAGGGGGGGGAAAAAGGCTAAATCTCGATCTTCACCCAGCAGGGAAAAGGGGGAGGGGGGGGAAAAAGGCTGGAATTCTGTCACTGCGCCGCGGGCAGATCCGAGGGGGGGACGACCCGAAGGAATTCTTGGCTTCAAGTTTCGATCTCCCGGCGACTGCTACGAAAATAAACTCGGCTCCGACGGAACCCCCTGCCCCTCTTATATATAGATATATAGATTATATATATATATAGACTTTCCCAAATAATTCTCAGCATCATCAGCACTCCCTTCCAGCACTGATATGCAAACAACAAGGCGTAAGGCGTGGAATTCTGCCGCTTCAATTCGACTGGAAACCCGGGAGAAGCGCGAAGGAGGAGGGACGAGGAACGAAAACCAACCAAACCGGACCCGATGGGATTTTTTGGGA